GAAATTTGGGGGATTTTGGGGAAATTTGGGGGATTTTAGGAGAAATTTTGAGGAATTTGGGAGATTTTGGGGGGAAATTTGGGGGATTTTAGGGAAAAATTAGGGGATTTTAGGGGAAATATGGGAGATTTTGGGAAAAAATTGAGGGGATTTGGGGGAAATTTGGGAAATCTTCAGGGAAATAAGAGGGATTTAAAGGGATTTGGGGAGGTTTGGAGGCGTTTTAGGGGAAATTTGGGGAATATTTGGGAAAATTTGGGGGATTTTAGGGGGAAATTGGGGGGGGTTAGGGAAAATTTTGGAATTTTTGGGTGGAATTCTGGAATTTTCGGGGGGGCAATTTTTGAGGGGGAATTTTTGTAATTTTTCAGGTGAGATTTTGAAACTTTTGGGTATTTTTGGATGGAATTTTGGGGTTATTTTTGGATGGAGTTTGGTAATTTTGGGTGGAATTTTGGCAATTTGGGGAGTTTTGGGAATTTCGGGAATTCTGACCCCCCTCCCTCAGGCCGGGCCCACCCCGGGCGGATTTTGGGGCGTCCTGAGAGGGATTTTTGGGGAGCAGTTTTTGGGTGAAATTTTGAGAATTTTGGGAATTTCTGGGTGGAATTTTGGCAAATTTGGGGATTTTTGGGGTGGAATATTGCAGGGGAAATTTTTGGAAATTTCTGGGTAAATTTTTGGGAAATTCGGGGGAATTTTCCGGAATTTTAGGGTGGTTTTTTTTGAAATTTAGGCAACTTTGGTGTGGAATTTTCGGGAGAAATTTTGGAAAATTTTGGGATTTTTTTTAGGTGGAATTTTGGGAGAATTTTTTGGGGGAAGATTTTGGGAAATTCGGAGGGATTTTCCGGAATTTTTGGGTGGAATTTTAGGGAATTTCAGGTGGACTTTTTGGGTGGAATTTTTGGAATTTCGAGAAATTTTGGGATTTTTTGGTGGGAATTTTGGGAATTTGGGAATTTCGGGAATTCTGACCCCCCCCTCCCCCAGGCCGGCCCCACCCCGGATGGATTTTGGGGGGCTCCGAGATGGATTTGGCGAGCTGGGAGAACTGGGGGGGATTGGGGGGGACTGGGAGGGACTGGGATCAAACTGGGAGGGAACTGGGAGGGGCTGCGAGGGGACTGGGATCAAACTGGGAGGGACTGGGAGGGACTGGGATCAAACTGGGAGCAACTGGGAGCGAACTGGGAGGGACTGGGAGCGAGGGAACGGTGCTGGGAGGAACTGGGATCAAACTGGGAGGGAACTGGGATCAAACTGGGAGCGACTGGGGGGGACTGGGAGCGCTGGGAGGGGCTGGGAGGGACAGGGATCGAACTGGGAGGGACTGGGAGGGAACTGGGATCAAACTGGGAGGGAACTGGGGGGACTGGGAAGGGATTGGGAGGGACTGGGACGGACTGGGAGGGGATTGGGATCAAACTGGGAACGCTGGGAGGGACTGGGGGGGGACTGGGAGCACCACGAGGGGTTACTGGTGCTTACTGGGATGGACTGGGAGAGAACTGGGAGGGACTGGGAGAGAACTGGGAGGGACTGGGAAGGGACTGGGAGGGACTGGGGGTTACTGGTGTGAACTGGGATGAACTGGGAATGACCTCCCAGCCACATCCAGGTGAGCTCAGGTGTGAGGAATAACTGGGATTACTGGGATTGCTCTGGTTACTGGGAGGGACTGGGATGAGCTGGGATGAACTGGGATGGACTGGGATGGACTGGGGGTTACTGGTGTGAACTGGGATGAACTGGGATGGACTGGAAATGACCTTCCAGCCACGTCCAGGTGAGCTCAGGTGAGCTCAGGTGAGGGGAATAACTGGGATTACTGGGATTTCTGAGTTTACTGGTTGGACTGGGATAGACTGGGGGTTACTGGTTTGAACTGGGATGAACTGGGAGCCCTCTCCCGCCCCCCCCAGCCACCTGCAGGTGCGCGCAGGTGAGCACAGCCTGGCCCCGGTGAGCGGCCACGAGCAGGGCTGGGGCTGGATGGGATGGACTGGGGGGTACTGGGAGGACCTGGGCGCGCTCCCCCAGCCACCTGCAGGTGCGCGCAGGTGAGCACAGCCTGGCCCAGGTGAGCGGCCACGAGCAGGGATTGATGGCACTGCTGGGGTTACTGGTTAGACTGGGATGGACTGGGATGAACTGGGAGCGCTCTCCCAGCCACCTGCAGGTGCGCGCAGGCGAGCACAGCCTGGCCCAGGTGAGCGGCCACGAGCAGTTCGCCGCCGCCGTGGAGCTCGTGGTGCACCCGGACTTCGGCAAGGCCGCGGGGGATCCCCGAAACTTCGAGAACGCCAGGAATTCCTCCGGGGGTTCCCCCGGGGGTTCCCTCGGGAATGCCGAGGGATTTTTGGGGAACCCCGGGGGTTTTGGGGGGGATTCCCGGGGTTTTCCCGGGGGTCCCCGCGGCTCGGGGCGCTCCAATGACCTGATGCTGCTGCGCGTGGCGCCGCCCTTCACCTGCGGGCCGCGCGTCAGGCCCCTCCCCCTGGGCGTGGCCCCGCCCCCCGCGGGCTCCGCCTGCACCGTGATGGGCTGGGGCAGCACCAGCAGCCCCCAGGGTACGGACTGGGATGGACTGGGAGGGACTGGGAGGGGATTGGGATGGACTGGGAGCGACTGAGAGGGGATTGGGATGGACTGGGATGGACTGGGATGGGCTGGGAGGGACTGGGATGGGCTGGGAGCACTGGGGAGGGGATTGGAATGGACTGGGAGGGGACTGGGATGGACTGGGATGGACTGGGAGGGACTGGGATGGGCTGGGGCAGCACCAGCAGCCCCCAGGGTACGGACTGGGATGGACTGGGAGCACTGGGGAGGGGATTGGAATGGACTGGGTGACTGGGAGGGCACTGGTTTATACTGGGAGCGACTGGGGGGGGACTGGGAGGGACTGGGAGGGGATTGGGGGTGACTGGGAGGGCACTGGTTTATACTGGGAGCGACTGGGGGGGGACTGGGAGGGACTGGGAGGGGATTGGGGGTGACTGGGAGGGCACTGGTTTATACTGGGAGCGACTGGGGGGGGACTGGGAGGGACTGGGAGGGGATTGGGGGTGACTGGGAGGGCACTGGTTTATACTGGGAGCGACTGGGGGGGGACTGGGAGGGACTGGGAGGGGATTGGGGGTGACTGGGAGGGCACTGGTTTATACTGGGAGCGACTGGGGGGGGACTGGGAGGGACTGGGAGGGGATTGGGGGTGACTGGGAGGGCACTGGTTTATACTGGGAGCGACTGGGGGGGGACTGGGAGGGACTGGGAGGGGATTGGGGGTGACTGGGAGGGCACTGGTTTATACTGGGAGCGACTGGGGGGGGACTGGGAGGGACTGGGAGGGGATTGGGGGTGACTGGGAGGGCACTGGTTTATACTGGGAGCGACTGGGGGGGGACTGGGAGGGACTGGGAGGGGATTGGGGGTGACTGGGAGGGCACTGGTTTATACTGGGAGCGACTGGGGGGGGACTGGGAGGGACTGGGAGGGGATTGGGGGTGACTGGGAGGGCACTGGTTTATACTGGGAGCGACTGGGGGGGGACTGGGAGGGACTGGGAGGGGATTGGGGGTGACTGGGAGGGCACTGGTTTATACTGGGAGCGACTGGGGGGGGACTGGGAGGGACTGGGAGGGGATTGGGGGTGACTGGGAGGGCACTGGTTTATACTGGGAGCGACTGGGGGGGGACTGGGAGGGACTGGGAGGGGATTGGGGGTGACTGGGAGGGCACTGGTTTATACTGGGAGCGACTGGGGGGGGACTGGGAGGGACTGGGAGGGGATTGGGGGTGACTGGGAGGGCACTGGTTTATACTGGGAGCGACTGGGAGGGGACTGGGAGGGACTGGGAGGGGATTGGGGGTGACTGGGAGGGCACTGGTTTATACTGGGAGCGACTGGGAGGGGACTGGGAGGGGATTGGGAGGGGATTAGGATGGATGGGGAGGGACTGGGATGGACTGGTTTGGACTGGGAGGGGATTGGGAGGGGATTAGGATGGATGGGGAGGGACTGGGATGGACTGGTTTGGACTGGGAGGGGATTGGGATGGACTGGTTTATACTGGGAGCAACTGGGTGTCACTGGGAGGGGATTAAGATGGACTGAAATGGACTGGTTTGGACTGGGAGGGACTGGGATGGGACTGGGAGGGACTGGGAGGGACTGGTTTATACTGGGAGAGACTGGGATGGGACTGGGAGCGACTGGGCAACATTGGGAGGGGATTGGAAGGGAATTGGGGGGAACTGGTTTATACTGGGAGCAACTGGGAGGGGACTGGGGGGACTGCGAGTGACTGGGAGGGGACTGGGGAGGAGTGGGATGGACTGGTTTATACTGGGAGGGCATTGGGAGGGAACTGGGAGTGAACTGCGGGTTACTGGTTTATACTGGTTTCGGCGTTGCGGGGACTGGGAGGGCCCCAGGTGTGTCCCTGTCCCAGTGCCACCTGTCCCAGCGGTGTCCCAACTGCGTCAGGTGTCCCCAGGTGTCCCCAGGTGTGTCCCCAGGTGTGTCCCCAGGTGTGCCAGGTGTGTCCCCAGGTGTGTCCTGTGTGTCCCAGGTGTGCCAGGTGTGTCCCCAGGTGTGTCCTGTGTGTCCCAGGTGTGCCAGGTGTGTTCCCAGGTGTGCCAGGTGTGTCCCCAGGTGTGCCAGGTGTATTCCCAGGTGTGCCAGGTGTGTTCCCAGGTGTGTCCCAGCTCTCCCGAGTGTGTCCCAGGTGTCTCAGGTGTGTCCCCAGGTGGTGCCACCTGTCCCAGGTGTATCTCAGGTGTGTCCCAGGTATGTCCCCAGGTGTGTCCCCAGGTGTCTCAGGTGTGTCCCCAGCTGTCCCCAGGTACCTCAGGTGTGTCCCCAGCTGTCCCCAGGTGTCTCAGGTGTGTCCCCAGGTGTGTCCCCAGCTGTCCCCAGGTGTGTCCCCAGGCGGTGCCACCTGTCCCAGGTGTATCTCAGGTGTGTCCCAGGTGTGTCCCAGGTACCTCAGGTGTCTCTCAGGTGTCCCCAGATGTCCCCACATGTCCCAGGTTTCCCCAGGTGTGTCCCCAGCTGTCTCAGGTGTGTCCCCAGGTGCCTCAGGTGTGTGCTGTCCCCAGAGTCGTACCCGGCCGTGCCGCAGTGCCTCAACGTCACCGTGCTCGGGGACAGCGCCTGCCCCAGCTGTCCCCAGCTGTCCCCAGGTGCCTCAGGTGTGTGCTGTCCCCAGAGTCGTACCCGGCCGTGCCGCAGTGCCTCAACGTCACCGTGCTCGGGGACAGCGCCTGCAGTGACGCCTACGGGGCGCAGGTGACCCCGGACATGCTGTGCGCAGGCGTGCCCGAGGGCGGCAAGGACTCCTGCCAGGTGTGTCACCTGGGTGGCACCTGGGTGTCACCTGTGTCACACTGTCACCTGTGTCACATTGTCACCTGTGTCACCTGTGTCACCTGGTCACCTGTGTCCCACCACCTGTGTCACCTGTGTCGCTGGCACCTGGGTGTCACCTGTGTCACCTGTGTCACCTGGGTGTCACACTGGCACCTGTGTGTCACCTGTGTGTCACCTGTGTCACCTGTGTCACCTGGTCACCTGTGTCCCACCACCTGTGTCACCTGTGTCACCTGGTCACCTGTGTCCCACCACCTGTGTCACCTGTGTCACCTGGTCACCTTGTCACCTGTGTCCCACCGCCTGTGTCCCATTGTCACCTGTGTCACCTTGTCACCTGTGTCCCCTCACTGTGTTAGCTGTGTCACCTGTCCCTGTCACCTGTGTCTGTTCACCTGTCCCAGGTGCCACCATCCTGTGCCCAATGTCCCCACTGTCCCCAAACCCCTCTCAATGTCCCCAACCCTCCCAGTGTCCCCAGTGTCCCCAGTGTCTTAAGTGTAGTGTCACTTGTCACCTGTGTCCCCTCACCTGTACCAGGTGCCACCACCCTGTCCTCAAATTCCCCCAATCCCCCCAGTGTCCCCACTGTCCCCAATGTCCCCTCAGTGTCCCCAGTGTCCCCAATGTCCCCAGGGTGACTCCAGGGGTCCCCTGAGTGTCCCCTGAGTGTCCCCTCTGTCCCCCCAGGGTGACTCTGGGGGTCCCCAATGTCCCCAATGTCCCCAATGTCCCCTCAGTGTCCCCAGTGTCCCCAATGTCCCCAGGGTGACTCCAGGGGTCCCCTGAGTGTCCCCTGAGTGTCCCCTCTGTCCCCCCAGGGTGACTCTGGGGGTCCCCAATGTCCCCAATGTCCCCAGGGTGACTCTGGGTGGCCCATCAGTGTCCCCAATGTCCCCTGTGTGTACCCAATGTCCCCAATGTCCCCTCAGTGTCCCCAATGTCCCCACTGTCCCCAATGTCCCCTCTGTCCCCAGGGTGACTCCGGGGGTCCCCTGCTGTGCGGGGGCCGGCTGCAGGCCGTGGTGTCCTGGGGCGAGCACCCCTGCGGTCAGCCCGGCCGGCCGGGGGTCTACGCCCGCGTCCAGCCCCACCTGGCCTGGATCCGCGAGGTCATCGGGGACGACGGAGTGACCGCTGACCCCGCCTGTGACCCCGAGTGACCACTGAACCCCCTGAGTGACCGCTGACACCACCGAGTGACCGCTGTGACCACTGAACCCCCTGAGTGACCACCGAGTGACCGCCGACCCCGCCTGTGACCCCGAGTGACCGCTGACCCCGCCTGTGACCCTGAGTGACCAGTGACACCACGGAGTGACTGCTGACCCCGCCTGTGACCCTGAGTGACCAGTGACACCACGGAGTGACCACTGACCTGTCCTGTGACCCCGAGTGACCGCTGACCCCCCTGAGTGACCAGTGACATCATGGAGTGACCGCTGACCCATCCTGTGACCCCAAGTGACCACTGAACACCCTGAGTGACCACTGACTCCCCTGAGTGACCGCTGACCCCTCCCTTTGCAATAAAGACCAATCAGAGCTCAGAATGCATCTGGCTCCGCCCCCTTCGTGTTGTCCGATTGGCTGGGGAGGGGGTGAGGTCATTGTGGCACTGGGGGTGGCCCAGAGCCAAACTGGGAGCACTGGGAACCAACTGGGAGCCAACTGGGAGCCAACTGGGAGCACTGGGAGCCAACTTGGAACCAACTGGGAGCACTGGGAGCCAACTGGGAACCAACTGGGAGCACCATGAGCCAACTGGGAACCAACTAGGAGCACTGGGAGTCAGCTGGGAGGACTGGGAGTCAACTGGGAGCACTGGGAGCACTGGGAGTCAAGTGGGAACCAACTGGGAGCCAACTGGGGGCCTTCTCCCACCACGTTTCCTGCCCTTTTTATCCTCAAGTTTCCCACTCTTTTCCCTCAAATTTCTCCCTCACATTTCCCACGTTTTTCTCCTCATGTTTCCCTCATTTTCCCCCTCAGGTTTGCCATAGTTTTCCCCTTCATATTTCCTGTCATTTTCCCCTCACAATTCCCAAACCTTTTCTCCGTCACGTTTTCCTCACATTTCCCTCCATTTTCCCCCTCACAATTCCCAACCCTTTTTCCTTCACATTTTTCACCTTTTCCCCCTCACGTTTTCTATCCTTTTCCCTCCATTTTCCTCATCACGTTTCCCATTTTCCCCTCACAATTCCCATCCCTTTTCCCTTCATGTTTTCCACCTTTTCCCTCTCAAGTTTCCCTCGTTTTTCCCCTCAAGTTTTCCATCCTTTTCCCCTCACATTTTCCTCACTTTTCTCTCCATTTTCCCCCTCAATTTTCCCACATTTTCCGCCGTTTCCCGTTTCCCCCTCACAATTCCCAACCCTTTTTCCTTCACATTTTTCCACCTTTTCCCCTCATGTTTCCCTTGTTTTTCCCCTCACGTTTTCCATCATTTTCCCCTCACTTTTCCCTTGTTTTTCCCCTCACGTTTTCCATCATTTTCCCCTCACTTTTCCCTTGTTTTTCCCCTCACATTTTCCATCCTTTTCCTCTCATGTTTTCCTCACTTTTCCCTCCATTTTCCCCCTCACATTTCCCACCATTTCCCCCTCACAATTCCCAACCCTTTTTCCTTCACATTTTTCCACCTTTTCCCCTCATGTTTCCCTTGTTTTTCCCCTCACGTTTTCCATCCTTTTCCCCTCATGTTTTCCTCACATTTCCCTCCATTTTCCCCCTCACGTTTCCCACCATTTTCCATCTATCTCCCCCCTCCCGTTTCCCCCCATTTCCCCCTCACAATTCCCAACCCTTTTTCCTTCACATTTTTCCACCTTTTCCCCTCATGTTTCCCTTGTTTTTCCCCTCACGTTTTCCATCCTTTTCCCCTCATGTTTTCCTCACATTTCCCTCCATTTTCCCCCTCACGTTTCCCACCATTTTCCCCTCACAATTCCCAATCACTTTCCCCTCACGTTTCCCTCATTTTCCCCTCACGTTTTCCTCACTTTTCCTGCCATGTCGTCCTCACAATTCCCAATTCTTTTTCCTTCACATTTTTCACCTTTTTCCCCCTCACATTTCCTTCATTTTTCCCCTCAAGTTTTCCATCCTTTTCCCCTCATGTTTTCCTCACTTTTCCCTCCATTTTCCCCCCCTCATATTTTCCGCCATTTTCCTCCCTCACGTTTCTCGCCATTTTCTCCTCACAATTCCCAACATTTTTCTCTTCACGTTTACCTCATTTTCCCCCTCACATTTCCCTCATTTTCCCCCTCACATTTCCCTCATTTTCTCCTCAAGTTTTGCTCACTTTTCCCTCCATTTTCCCCCTCACGTTTCCCGCCATTTTCCCCTCACAATTCCCAACTCTTTTCCCTTTGCTTTTCCCACCTTTCCCCCCTCATGCTTCCCTCGTTTTCCCCCTGAAGTTTTCCATCCTTTTCCCCTCATGTTTTCCTCACATTTCCCGCCATTTTCCCCCTCACATTTCCCACCATTCCCCCTCACAATTCCCAACCCTTTTTCCTTCACATTTTCCACCTTTTCCCCATCACGTTTTCCATCCTTTTCCCCTCATGTTTTCCTCACATTTCCCGCCATTTTCCCCCTCACATTTCCCACCATTCCCCCTCACAATTCCCAACCCTTTTTCCTTCACATTTTCCACCTTTTCCCCATCACGTTTTCCATCCTTTTCCCTCCATTTTTCTCATCATGTTTCCCATTTCCCCCTCACAATTCCCATCCCTTTTCCCTCACGTTTCCCACCTTTTCTCCCTCACATTTCCCTCATTTTTCCCCTCAAGTTTTCCATCCTTTTCCCCTCAGGTTTTCCTCACTTTTCCCTCCATTTTCCCCTCACGTTTCCCACCATTTTCCCCTCACAATTCCCAACCCTTTTCTCTTCACATTTTCCACCTTTTCCCCCTCACATTTCCCTCGGTTTTCCCCTCACGTTTCCCTCGTTTTCCCCCTCAAGTTTTCTAATCTTTTCCCCTCACATTTTCATCACTTTTCCCTCCATTTCCCCCCTCACATTTCCCGCCATTTCCCCCTCACAATTCCCAACTGTTTTTCCTTCACATTTTCCACCTTTTTCCCCTCATGTTTCCCTCGGTTTTCCCCCTCAAGTTTTCCATCCTTTTCCCCTCACGTTTTCCTCACTTTTCCCTCCATTTTCCCCCTCACATTTCCCACCATTTCCCCCTCACAATTCCCATTCCTTTTCCCTTCATGTTTTCCACCTTTTCCCTCTCATGTTTCCCTCATTTTCCCCCTCATGTTTTCCATCCTTTTCCCCTCACATTTCCCTCCATTTTCCCCTCACATTTATCTCCATTTTCCCCTCATGTTTCCCTCCATTTTCCCCCTCACATTTCCCACCATTTCCCCCTCACAATTCCCATTCCTTTTCCCTTCATGTTTTCCACCTTTTCCCTCTCATGTTTCCCTCATTTTCCCCCTCATGTTTTCCATCCTTTTCCCCTCACATTTCCCTCCATTTTCCCCTCACATTTCCCTCCATTTTCCCCTCACATTTCCCTCCATTTTCCCCTCACATTTCCCTCCATTTTCCCCTCACATTTCCCTCCATTTTCCCCTCACATTTCCCGCCATTTTCTCCTCACATTTCCCGCCATTTTCCCTCTCGTGTTTCCCGCCTTTTTCCCCCTCAGAATTCCCTTTTCCCGCCTTTTTTCCCTCACTTTTCCTTGGGGGGATTTGGGGGTTTTGATGTCACATCCAGCCCCGCCCCCCCCCCCCCCCCCCATCCAGGTGCCCCCTTTCCCCCTCCAATTTCCCCTCTCATTTCCTGCCTTTTCCCCCTCAGAATTCCCATTTTCTGCCTTTTTCCCCCCACTTTTCCTTGTGGGGGAGGGGCTTGGGGTGATTTGGGGGTCTTGATGTGACATCCAGCCCCCCCCCCAGGGTGTTCCCCAGGTGTTACAAGGAGCCCCCCAGGTGTGCCCTGGTGTGCCAGGTGACATTCAGGTGCCCTCCAGGTGACATCCAGGTGCCCCCCAGGTATTACAAGGAGCCCCTCAGGTGTTGCAGGTGAAGTCAAAAAACCACTCAGGTGTTAAAAGGAGCCATTCAGGTGTTACAGGTGAGGCCAAGGAGCCCCTCAGGTGCCCCCCAGGTGCTCCAGGTGAGCCCCAGGTGCTCCAGGTGAGCCCCAGGTGACCCCCAGGTGTCACAAGGAGCCTCCCAGGTGTCACAGGTGAGGCCAAGGAGCCCCCCAGGTGCCCCCCAGGTGCGCCCAGGTATCTCAGGTGGGCCCAGGTGTCTCAGTCCCCGCCGTTGGCACGGATGGTGCGGCGGATCCAGGCGGTGAAGGCGCAGACCCGGCTGTACACACCTGGCTTGCCCTGCTGGCCGCACACCTGCAGCCCCCAGGAGACCACGCCCTGCAGGTACCCCTCGCACACCAGAGGGCCCCCAGAGTCACCCTGGGACAGGTGAGAGGCAGGTGGGACAGGTGAGACGCCTGGGACAGGTGAGTCCCCCAGGTGTTCCCCAGGTGCTTCCCAATCCCATTCCCCCCATCCAGGTGGGTCCCTCCAGGTGTTCCCCAGGTGTTCCTCAGGTGTGTCCCACTCCCATTGCCCCCCACACAGGTGAGTCCCTCCAGGTGCTCCCCAGGTATTTCCCATTCCCATACAGGTGAGTCCCCATACAGGTGTTCCCCAGGTATTTCCCATTCCCATTCCCATACAGGTGAGTCCCCATACAGGTGTTCCCCAGGTATTTCCCATTCCCATACAGGTGAGTCCCCCCAGGTGTTCCCCAGGTATTTCCCATTCCCACCACATAGGTGAGTCCCCCACAGGTGTTCCCACCCTTCCCCCCCATACAGGTGAGTCTCCCACAGGTGTTCCCCAGGTATTTCCCATCCCCCCCATACAGGTGAGTCCCTCCAGGTGTTCCCCAGGTATTTCTCATTCCCCCCCATACAGGTGAGTTCCCCCAGGTGTTCCCCAGGTATTTCCCATTCCCATTCCCATTCCCATACAGGTGAGTCCCCACAGGTGTTCCCCAGGTATTTCCCACTCCCATTACCCCCCATACAGGTGAGTCCCTCCAGGTATTTCCCATTCCCCCCCATACAGGTGAGTCCCCCCAGGTGTTCCCCAGGTATTTCCCATTCCCACACAGGTGAGTCTCCCCAGGTGTTCCCCAGGTATTTCCCATTCCCACCACACAGGTGAGTCCCCCACAGGTGTTCCCCAGGTATTTCCCATCCCCCCACACAGGTGAGTCCCCCACAGGTGTTCCCCAGGTATTTCCCATCCCCCCCATACAGGTGAGTCCCTCCAGGTGTTCCCCAGGTATTTCTCATTCCCCCCCATACAGGTGAGTTCCCCCAGGTGTTCCCCAGGTATTTCCCATTCCCACCACATAGGTGAGTCCTTGGACAGGTGAGGGACAGGTGGGACAGGTGGGGATGGGTGGGACAGGTGAGGGACAGGTGGGACAGGTGAGGACAGGTGAGGAGAGGTGTGGGACAGGTGTTACCCGCCCCCCTCCCGTGTTCTTCATTTGTCCCTCACCTGTCCACCCCCAGACCTCACCTGTTCCTCACCTGTCCTGCTTTTCTGACCCCTCCAGACCTTACCTGTCCCACACCTGTCCCCTCCCATCTCACCTGTTCCCCTCTTCTGACCCCTCCAGGTGTCCTGTGCCCTTCACCCCCTCACCTGCCCACAGGTGTGTCCCCGCCCCTCACCTGCCCCCAGGTGTGTCCCTGCCCCTCACCTGCCCCCAGGTGTGTCCCCGCCCCCTCACCTGCCCCCCAGGTGAGTCCCGCCCCTCACCTGCCCCCAGGTGTGTCCCCGCCACCAAT